TAAAAACATAATTTTCGGACAATCTTGGCCATAAACCGTAGGACGACGATAAATTTTTATGCATTTTTAAGTCCTCGCGCCCCCCTTCCCCCCATTCAATGTTGCCGTTTCGTGTATATTTATGATCTGACCTACTCTACAACAAAATTGTACGTGTACTAGAAATGTGGGAGAGCAACATTGAATGGGGGGAGCGGGGGGAGCGGGGGGAGGTGCAAAATGATTTTAAAACCCAAGTATATTAAAAAGTTGCGAATTTGTTTTGTCGTTCTACGAACTTTTGGCCAAGATTGTAGTTGGATTAAAACAGATGTTAAGTGAAAATGTGAATTTTGTGAATTATACTTTCATTAAAATGTTTCAGAAGGGCTGCTAATGTCAAACTACACGTGTGACAGAGCTGTCAGTATACCCATATTTCAATGTTTATGTTGAAATGGCCCATCTTCTTTGAGGTATAGCTTAAAAATTAGGGTATGCTCATCACTTGAAACTAGCTTTAAATCAAAGTTTTATCTATAGTCTTTTTATTAGAATTGAAATCATTCATGGGAAAATGTGCCAGAGGGTTGAAATTGCCCTTGTAAATGTACACTATTTTTGATATGTTTGGGTTAGTATTTTGAAAAGGTGTTCTGGAAGGAAAATATGTCTTGAACAATACTGGTTGACCCTTAAATTATAACTAGTGTTATGTAAATCACAGAAAATTGAAAAAAGTGTGGTCCATAAACAATATTTTGGATTCTATGAGGTCCCGAATGCGGCTTATTTCAATGTTTAATCTGTTTACCTGGAAAAACATAGAAAATTGAATAAGTCAAGAATTTGACTATGCTCATCACCCAAAACCAGGTTTTTCTAATTGCTTTTTCACCTGGGTTTGTGGCAATACCAGTTATGCAACCATGAAAAATGCGCGCGGCACTTTTTTTGGACACTGAAGATGACAACATTTGATGTTGTTATATATTGCCATCCTCTTATCATAGTATAACTTAACTTATTTTAGTGAGTTTGTTAAAGAATTGTGCTCACTATATTCCTGTAGTATATAAAAAATTTTTCATAGCATTTAGATGATAAATTTAAGTTCTGTTTTCTTTTATTTTTAGGTGATAGTATCTGTTCACATGTGTGTTGGTATCAAATTTTGCACAAGATTGAATTATTATTTCACATTCCTTTATTGAAATATCCAAGTAAATGGAATGTGACATCAAGCTGGAGAACTAAATACTGTTTCCAAACTTGTTTTTGTAAAAATAGAAAATAACAACTTACTATGTGTTGTTCTAATAAAAACTATAGTTTTTGATATGCATATTTAATTTTTGAAATTACATTTCATTCTTTGTTAAAATGTGTACCAGGAATACTGAAATCTTTCAGATCAGCTAACAATACCTTTGTAACTTATGTAGCCAAGTGTTCTATGTATTTCTGTTCAGATTAAACAAATGATGGGTAAAATATTAGATTAGATTTTTGCAAAAAAATGAGCTTGCCTGTTTTCAAAGCGTAAAAAGCAATAAAATAAAGGAAAAGTACTTATTTTCAATATAAAACCTTTGGAATGCATAGCTTAATGTTTTCCACTAAATATTACAAAGTTTTCATTAAAATGTTGTTTTATCAGCTTTAAAACCAGATAAATTCACGAAACACTCCCAACAGGCCTGAATATAATTTTTTGTGCCCTGCCTGTCACAATGACCAGCATCAATGAAATTGTGCCTGTCGATCACAAAATAAATGTATCGGTCACCAAAACAACCATCAGTATATTTGGTTCCATACTAATTACTAAAATAATAGTGACTAATAGTAAATAGGACATGCAAAAATCATATGTAGGCATGTAGCTAGACTAGCTAGTGCTGCAGTTGAAGAAATTAAGTGCTCATACTGGGAACATTTATTTATTTATTTATATTTATAGAAAGTTTAGAAACAAGTAATTGAACTCAAGTGGTCAAGTTAGTGAATGAGGTCATGAAATCAATAAATCATGCCTATCTCTATAAAAATGAATAAGTCCAAATGCTCAGATAATAACTATGACTATACTTTAGTTTGTTACAATGGCGCCACGCTTCGTCGCCACTCGCATTCTGGACTCGATATCGCGAGAAACTCGCAACACCAATGTGTGGTATTATGCAATCTTTCGATTCTTTGCGAAATAATTATTTTAGTCAATCTCATGTGTCAACATGCACGATTGCTCTCAAAAAGTTAAAAGACAATCGGTTTAAGGCTCCTTGTCCCAAAATGGACAATGATTTTTGCCGAACCATGTACCGGACAAAGTGACCGACGCAATCGAAATAGTACCTGTCAAAATGGTTGAAATTGCGGATTTGTACCAGACAATGTTCGTGACCGGCCGCTAATATTCAGGCCTGACTCCCAATATATGTCGCCATATTGATTTTCTTCGCGCATGCTCAGACAAATTGCCCACCTGTTATACTGCTTCATTTCCTTGATTGATGAGGCTCATGAGAGGGCCTGGTGACTAGTTAAATTATTTCAGATCAAGATGGCGGAAGAGCAAGATAAAATTTACATATTTTAAAAATGTATTAAAATGTATATTAATTCAAATTTGCATTTAGCAATATTGGTAAAATATAGCTGAATATGAATGAATATAAAGAATATTTACCTTTTTGTATCTGCGAAGCAGATATATATGCTATCGCAAACGTGATGTTACCGTATGTTAGCACATAGCCATTCAGCGACGAGCTTATATAATTCAGACAATTCATGATAATTTAAGCCAATCAGCGATTAGTTTACATCGATTGTTTACATCGTGCCCGCTGATCTAACCTGCGAACGGGCATACTTTAGCCTCGTCAGGCCTCGTGTATAAATCGTGTTTTATATTCTTTCAAAAATATCTTGATATTTTTATCAATTTATCTTGAATTGGCTGTCTTTTCTTTTTATCAACATGGAATCTTATCCTCATCTGGTAAGTAGTCAAATACCATGGAATGCACTCTGGAATTTTTTTACATGGAATGCACTCTGGGTTTTTTTTATTAGTGTATTACACTGTTAAAATATTGGATATTTTCGAGGATATTTTAAGCCATTTGTCAACATAGTTCAAAAAAAGATTTATACAGTATTAAAAACAATCCTTCTGTGACTTCTGTAATATTTTAAACAGTGAAAACATTCTCAGGAGATATTGAATTAAATCCTGGTCCTGTATTTCTGTAAATTGACTCCATAACTCTGTTCAAAACAACAGTTCAACTATAAAGCTGTCATCAAATGTAGTGTTAGAGCAAAGGTTGAAGATGTTATCAGTTAAAATACTTATACATTTTGGTTTTACACATTAGAGTTAATTAAACAAAATTTTTACAAACATTTTCAAATAAAAGAATCCTCACCCTCCAGAGCCTCATTACATTGTCATTTTGCTTTCTAACATAAATATTTTTCTTTAGAGATTAATACGAGAATGAAGGATAAATGTACTGGATATTGGCTGGATAATTTTGTCAGAACAACCGACTTGCAAGACAATCTTACCTAAATTCGTTAGTATGGAAAATAACTTAACAGCTACAATGAATAATCATATATTATATGGTGGATTTGATCAATGGCACACAATGTACAAAACTAAACTTGTGATACCTTCTACTCAAACCGATAATCTCCCACAACACGATTGTTTTGTGTGAATGTGCTGTACGTGTTAAACCGAACAGTGTGGTATATCATTAACTATGCACAGAACTGGAATTTAATTATATACTTCACTCATGACCTTCAAAACATTCTCAATTATTCAGTGGTCTTCGACATGTTCACCAAATATTTTGTGTATGTTACTCAACAGTTAACATTTGCAAGTGTAAACAACAAGTGACATAACTTTTGCTTCATATGATTACAATAAAGTTTTGAAAATTTGATGAGTATGGATTGAATTGACAGGTGACAGTTTACTAAATAGCTGGCTGTATAGACACTTTGAATATTGTTTGCATGAAATTTTTATTTCCTGACTGCATAATTATCTGTTACAATCATAATCACATTATAAAATTAGTTAAATTTTCTCGGTGCGGGGGTGGGGTGGGGGTGGGGTAGCACTTGCCCTGCTGCACTCCCCGCTGTGTACAGCCCTGTTTTAAATCTTATCTGCCATTATAATAAGTGATGAAATTTTTCAATTGTCCCATGTCATCATTATTCAGTTTCTTTCAAGAAAATACAAAATGTGAATCAAATTTTTTCGCAGATACATGTACGCGTCGCGTACCTATTTTTATTTATGTCTGACTGTTGTTGCTGTTTATTTTAATTATTTCAGAATACATTAATACAGATACTTGAGATATTTCAATATAATTGATAATTAATTATATTTTCAATTTTCTACTGTCTGTATTTTAAAGAATGTTTGTCACTTGTCAAATGATTAAATAACAACAAATGGCAATGAAAAGGTACTCAATATGTTTCTTGCTACTTGCAGCCTTGGATGACTGACAGTGAACTTGAACTTACAACAGTTGTGGAAGCAAGAGAAAACAACACTGAAATGATGATTGATAATGACAGACCAATTGAGAATATGCTTATTGGGGAGGGTACTACTGGCAAATCAAAACGGGGCTCAAAGGTTCATCCAATATGGAGTTATGTGTTTGATGACCCCACTGCTTAAGCCATCACCGGCTCTAAAAATGCAAGCAATCTGTCCGGCATCACCACAAAACGGCATCTGTCAAAAACCACCTTCGAAAATGCTTCCAGTTCAAAAAGGTCGTGTTGGACACGGCTGTCAGTGACAACCCAGACTGGTGGACTGATCAAAGAGGCACTGCAAAGAGGCACTGCAAAGAAGTCAATGGGGTCTACATTCTCCAAAAGCACTTCTTCTGTCACTAGCAAGTCACAATCTTCAGGCAGATCATTTACCATACTCCTGTTCAGTGCTTCAGAACAAAAGAGGTTCAATCATGAGATGGCAATGTATTTTTACTGCACTGGCACAAGTTTTCAGAGGGCTGAAGATCCATTTCTCCCCTTGGGCTATCCAGTTGGCATGCCCGGGTGCTAAATTGCCAACACGCAAGCAGCTAGCAGACGATGGTGCTGGGGGCCTGCTTGATGAATGCTACCAGAAGGTCAAGGAGGAGGTCAATAAGGTGCTTTCTACTGATGGTCAATTTGTCTGCCTTACAAGTGATGCATGGTCAAATGTGGCGAATGATCCTGTTGTCAACTACATGGCTGTATCTCCAACTAAATCACTTTTCTTGGAAGCGGTACACATAAGAGCAAAGCCATGATGCAGACTGGCTTTCCACAGACCTAAGTCGTGTCAAAGGACAAAGATAGTCTTGGTGACAATGTGGTTGGTGCAGTTACCGATAACACAACAACCAACAAGAAGGCATGGAGTGAATTGGAGAAATGATACCCCACACATTTTTTCCATGGGTGTGTGTCCCATGGTCTTCATCTTCTTGTGAAAGATATCTTTGCTGCCAAAAAGGATGTCTCAGGTGGTGGTCCTGCTGAATATCCAGCTGGTTACCCATTTGAAGACCTGCTCCATTTTGCTATCGACTGCAAGGATGTTGTTAGCTTTTTCCATAACCAACATGTCCCTAAGGCAAAGCTGAAGAAGGCATTGGCAGCAGCCAAGTTGAGTGGCCTGGTACAGCCTGTACCAACACGTTGAGGCACATTGAATGGCTGTTTTAAATCATTACGAGCTGCCGATAATATCTTGAATGGCTTGGTATCCTAGTGAGATTTTGTTACCATGGGAAATGCCAAACAGAAGGAGAAAGGTGTGGCTATTAAAGCAGTCATCGCAGATCCGGATTTTGTCACCAAGCTTAACGAATGCACCACGATTATGACACCAATCGACATCCAGATAAAGATCTTCCAACGCGATGCGGTGCCATGCTCAGATGTGTACAAGGCATTTGTTGAGCTGGAAGAGAAGATGCGCAACCTGCCGAATGTTGAAGCAGGCAAGAAGGCTTACCTGGTTGAGCTGGTGCATAAACGGTTTGACTTTGTGTATGGAGATGCGCATGGTGTAGCCTATCTCCTAGATCCACGATACATGGGTGATGGTATGCTGCACACCCTATGAAAGGAGATTGAAGATTTTATCTACAAATTTCCCAAAAAAGATAGTACCACAAGTGAAGCACAGATGGAGCAGTTGGCCCAAGAATATACTGCTTTTCGGATTGAAGCGTGCAGAGAAAGGCAACAGAGCAAATTCCTCTTCAAAATGATTGGCAAGTCCAAGACGGTACTCTAATGGTGGATAGCAGATGGCATGGATTAGCCATTATCAGTGGCAGCGCCAGGCCTCAGAATTGGGGGCATTTGAGGGGCAAACTTGTATTTTGGGGGACAAGATAGAATTTTTAAAAAGGCACTGCTATTTTCCCATGCCGTTTTCACAGGACTTTTGTCCCCCTCCCCAGGAGATTCGCCCCCTCTCAAAAGGGGACAATATTCCTAGTGATACCACCCCCGGGGGACGAATATTGGCTATTTGGTCTGCATTTATCCGTTGACGGTTTTATTTGTTTTTGATCTGGTCTGTGTGGGCCTTTACATATTTGAGAATTTAACTTTGCAAAACTAAAGCTTTTTTGTCTTTTTTGAAACGCATTATTGGAGTATTGGCAAGTTTTACCATTCAGAGATTTACAAACTAATATTGAAACTGTAAAAGACAGTTTCATGTATACGCGCATTCATTAATGAGTAATGACAACTTATAAGCCATACATTTTCCGATAATGACAAAGTGCTTGTGTAGCCTTTAGTCGCTCTCAGTGACTAATAAATTTTTTTGAGGGGGGGGGGAATAATTGGGGGGGGCATTTGCCCCCCCTGGCGCCACCACTGGCCATTATTGCAGAATCTGGCATTGCATGTCTTTTTTATGGCAGCAGCCAGTGCCGCCTCAGAGCGGAATTTTTCCACCTTTGGATGTATTCATTCAAAGCTAAGAAATCGCCTTGGTCCCGAGAAAGTGAAGAAATTGGTCTATATCAAGACAAACAGTCTTCAGATGTCAGATGTGCTGCTCAAGGATATTATTGTAGAGGATTAAACTAGAATCACTAGACTCTAGAGAGTGACTAAACAGTAAAACTCTGAAACATTTGAGCGAAATGGGGACATTTAAGGACATTTGGGGACATTCTAGTACATATACTACATTTGGGGACATTCTGATATTATCGTATTAATGAAGTTATAGATTTTTTTAATTTTAAAGGTTTTCACAAAAATTGCCTTTAATTGTCTTTAATTGAATTAAAGAATAAAGAAGTTTTTTCTGAAAAAATCTTCTTTAATCCATCCCTGTAAAATCCTGACGTACAAAAAACAGGGCTCCAAATGGCATTTCTCTCGTGCCTGGGGTTAGCCTAATATTTGTTTTGTTGCCTAATTTTTCAATTTTTTTATTGTGCAATAAAGCAATTTTGCATCAATTGCATGTACCGGCCCTTTTTAATTTCCTGGTTAATGGTAAATAGTTGCTGCCAATATATGTCAAAAAGATTAATTCATCAGTTTTTAACTTCTTTTCACATTATATTAAGTCTTCCTAAAATAACATCTTATGTTATATACATATATTAATATTTAGCTGTTTAGATATTTGTCATTTTGTGATAATATTAAGTGCATCACTGTCTGCATGCATATTAAGAATAAGATAAAGGATTCCAGTGAGAGCAATTTGTTATGTTTTGACTGACAAGTCCCTGAGAGTGAAACCGATAAGTCATAACCAAAGTCCAATATCCATGCTCAAAACAAATTATACACTATTGTCAATACAGTACTTCATTTATTAGTGCTAACTAGTTACTAAGTGTTATACTACTTTGAAAAATATATTTCGACGTTCTGACTAAACTATAGTCATCATCAGGAAATGAATAATATATTATATATTGAAATCCTTGCTACATCAAGCTGAATTTACTTTTATACAAGACACTTTCGTCGACAGAGGCTTTTTGTAATGTATAGTTATTTAATAAAAAATATCGTGAACCGCTTATTTTTTTATTAATTTAAATAACTGTACATTTTAATTTAATACAAAAAGTCTCTTGCGGCTCTGCGAGCGTATACCAAACTTGAGAAGTTCAAACCACTTGACACTGTCTGAAGCTGCAGGGTTTGCGCAATAAATTAATGTTGAATCATTAAACTATTATACTTATCATGACAGTGACAATGCTGTTCCTCTATTACGATCAAACAATACTTATATTAGACACAAGACAAAAAGTGTTGTGCATATATTCTATTAATGAGTCAATCTATACCTTAAATCTTTGAACGCAAATTATTATAATGCCAAATAGCTACAATCATTGACAAAATGGGTTGAAACGAATGCACTTGCTCACTCCTATCACCCCCTCTCCCCCCAATCAATGTTGTTACGACCGTAATGACGTCTTCAAACACATATATTACTAGTTACATCAACATTGTTTGGGAGGGGGGGAGGGGAGGGGGCTATCTGAGAGAGAATAAACGTAAATATGTGAAAATTTTCGGTCTCATTTTAAATTTCATCTCTTGTAAGACATCGTTTCAATTAATTTTGTCAATGATTGTCTGTATTTTTCATAATTACTATTTCCGTATTTTTCATATGTTAATATATATATATATATATATATATATATATATATATATATATATATATATATATATATATATATATATATATATATATATATATATATATATCTAGGACATATTTACGTTGTTTGAACAAATTCTCACCAAATAAATTCATAAATTGCATTATCTTCATATTTCGTGTGTGTGAGAGAGAGTAATTAATAAAGTAAATTATCTTGTATATTAGCTGCACTGAGACAAAACCGATTGTGAACTTGGAGGTTTTATCACTTAAAGTTACTATCAATTCAATTCAATTAGGCGAGAGTATTTCAAACATATACAGTACATTCTGTTGTTTTTAGCTGAATGAGGATATCAACAGTCAATATTTGAATAAAATAGTATTTTCAATTAGGTAAATTACCATACAGGGAATCTAAGGCCTGTTTCAAACATCGCGCTTCTCATGTGCCGAATGCATTAAAAACAATAGATAATCAGCTGAAATGCCTCATTACCTACTGTTTCCAATGCGTTCGGCACACTAATTGCCTTAATGGATGATTGAGTCATTTTGATCAAATAAATATTACTATTAAGCTTTCGGATCACCTTACACTTCTTGCGGAACTTCTGTCGTTGCAATGGAGTTACTTACACAGTACGAAAGTTCTACATCCAGTGATAGCAATTTTGAGCTTGACTCTCGGCAAGTTCGACAGGTATACTTGGTCACTTACAGCCAAGCAAATACAACAAAATTTCCGACAAGGCGTTCCTTTGCTGAAGCTGTTGTTCGATCGTTTACTCAGCGAACCGCGTCCGTAATTCAATGGTGCTGTGCCCAAGAAAACCATCTGCGTTCAGGAGTGCATTTTCACGTAGCAATAAAATTGAATAAAAATCAGCGTTGGTTGCCCGCGAAAAGATATCTCCAGGAAACATACGGCATATATGTACACTTTTCAAGCATCCATGCGAACTATTTCACGGCTTGGCGCTATGTCACAAAAGATGATATCGACTATGAGGAAAGCGAGGGGCATCCAGATCTCACGAATGCTTGTGAACCACCCACTATGAAGGCACACGAAGCACTGCGAAAAAAACGCAAATCTCGTTTAAGACGCGAATTGGCAACATCCTCAAACGCTGTTCAGACTGAAAACGAACATGCTTCCGAGACTGCGAATGCATACAAAGCAAAAGAGGGTCGCCCAAGGAAACGTCAACGTCTTACTTCCTACCAAGTCTCGCAAATAATTGTGGACAAAAATATTCAGGACCGAACGGAACTGATGGCTTTTGCAAATATTCAGAAACGAGAAGGAAAAACTGACCTAGCAGAATTTGTCTTAAATCGCGGCACGAAGGTGGTAAACGAAGTGATTTCTAACGCTTGGGAAATGAAAAAAGCTGAAGAAACACTACGGAGAAGAAATACATCTCGTATGGACATATTGCAAGAAGCTTATGAGGCAGAATGCACATGTGAGACACACGGAGAGTGGGAGATATGTGCTTTGGAGATATTACATAATAATGACATACCACCACATCAATTTGCCATGTGTGTAAAAGAGTCTCTCGTGAAAGGGCGAGGAAAGTACAGGAATGTAATGCTGACGGGTCCAGCCAATTGTGGGAAGACATTTTTATTTAATCCGTTAAACAAAATCTACCACACATTTACGAATCCAGCGTCTACCAGTTTCGCTTGGGTTGGAGCCGAAAATTCTGAAGTGATTTTCCTCAATGATTTTCGATGGTCCCCACAAATCATAGCATGGCATGATCTACTTTTATTGCTCGAAGGTCAGCAAGTCAACTTACCTGCTCCGAAGTCTCATTTCGCCAAAGATGTGACATTTAAATCGGACACGCCTATTTTTTGCACGACTAAACGACCGCTAAACTATGTTAAGAACGGATGCGTAGACGATCGCGAGACCGAAATGATGAGTGCCAGATGGAAAGTGCTTAATCTCACGCACCAGATGTCGGAAGACGAACAACGGGAAGTGCTACCATGTTCAAGGTGCTTTGCACAACTTATATTGCAAAATGATCATGAAAATTAACTAAGTCTGGGCGATATGCTTACATGCTAGTGATATAATATTATATTACTGTAATTTTGCGTGAACATTGAGTGAACACATCAGGCAACGTGTTACAATGAATTTTGCAGTATCATATACTTAACCGCACTTAACCACAGTTAACCACACTTAACATATTTAATACATAAAATTAACTTCAATGATTCTATTATTTTAAATTATTGGTTAACTGTGGTTAGGTGTGGTTAACTGTGGTCCATAGCGGTAATTAACTGGTTAACTGTTGCATTGATAGTGGTTAAGTGTTGCCGGATCACAAATATCGCAGTTTCATCATTATTATATGCCTTGCATTTATAGCTCGACTTTTTAACTGGCCCTTATATTGTTGTGATAAAACGATTTATTCATGATAATTGACAAACAACAAAACTGATAAGAATGATTGATCGAATGCGTATAATTATACAATAGCTTCAGCTAAGAAATGCCGTTTACAGAATTATACACATTAGTTTTCAAATTGTATGGTGTAAGCAAAAAGTAATAATTAAATGTTTATTAATATTTGGTCCGTTTTCCATTAGTTTGGACAATTTCCTGCAACCTCTTCGTCATTGTAGTAATTGTTTTATCAATAACGTCTTTTGACGTAGACCATATATTGTATTGTACCGCTTGTTTAAACTCCTCCCAAGTTTGATGAGTAATGTTGTTCTCTTTAACCTGTGCTTCTATGCGTTTCCTCACTAGGTGAAACACATTTTCTATCGGATTCAAGTCCGGCGATCTTGGCGGAATCCTTTGCAGCGTGTAACCCATGTCCACTAACGTTGCCATTGCTTTCCTTGAAGTTTGCGAAGGGTCGTTATCCATGACAAAGATTTTACTGTCGCTCTCTCCTTTCTCCGCAACTTCAAACAAATTTGGAAAATTGCGGCGTATGAATTCTGTGAAAAAGTCTGCAGTCATCTTTTCATAAGGTTCTGCTAAGATCACTCCTCTTCCATAGGATATCACAACAATGAAATGCAATCTTTTTCCTCCCGCAAGGTCTTTGCTTCCTTTTGTCGTCATTACTAAACCTTCGTTCCGTTTTCGCCAGATCTTGTTTTTCGGCTTAATTGCATCACTCATTGGATTACCCTTATAAACAAAGGATACACCGTCTAGATAGAAAGCTACATCTTTTGTCCAGTAATCCGTTGAACAATCATTTAATCTCGATCTTGCAAACTCCCGTCGCAATTTTAAATCCTTATCTGTAAGGATACCTTTCTTGCGACTTGGTCGATATGCGTACCCGAGATTACGAATTTCCCGGTGAAATGTTCGATAATTAGCTTTATGCTGTGGAATACCGCTCCGTTTAACAACATCCATGATGGTAAAATTCGGGTTCTCCTGCCGTAGCATAATAAGGGATCTGTGAAGCTTTCTTCTATCTCGCGAAGTCAGAATTTTTCGCCGTCCACGTTTTATATTATCATGTTTGGACTTTCGTATTTTTGTGCGTTGGCCGTGCACAACCCTCCACACACTTGTCTTTGACATTTTAGTCCTGCTAGCAATTTGACGAAAAGAGTATTTTTTCTCTTGACGCAAATATACAGCAAAAGCACACTGCTGTGGCGAAAGAGGCGCTTTGAAAACCATGCTTATCGTTTTCATTAACCATGTGTGAACGTCTATGACGTAATTTAATTAATTTACTACTTATGTGATGTCATTAGGGTATAACGCTGACAGAATACATATCCTGATTGCGAGTATATGGCAAAAGTAGAAATAATAGTGGTTCAAAAATTATAGCATTTCTCAGACAATCATTGACAAATGGGTTGAAACGAATGCACTTGCTCACTCTTATCACCCCCTCTCCCCCCAATCAATGTTGTTACGACCGTAATGACGTCTTCAAACACATATATTACTAGTTACATCAACATTGTTTGGGAGGGGGGGAGGGGAGGGGGCTATCTGAGAGAGAATAAACGTAAATATGTGAAAATTTTCGGTCTCATTTTAAATTTCATCTCTTGTAAGACATCGTTTCAATTAATTTTGTCAATGATTGTAGTTCGTACAGAGCTACAATCCTGGCAAAAAGTATTGTGAACAATGTGCACAGAAATAGAAATATCATCATTGGCGAATTAATATGTGCAAAATGCTTAAATTCCCTCCTCTCCTGGTTCAATGCTGAAAGCTTATACTCATTGGTTAGGTGAAAGCTTTGTGAAATGCATGTCAAGGCCAACATTGTAGGGGGGAGACAAAGATGCCAAACAAGTGTATGCCAACAGTAATACTTTATGTTTGTGATGTTACTCTCAGTGTATATCCACACTGGGCAAGCTTGAAAAATATGCCTGGTCACTGTTTTCAAGCTTGCCAGATGTGGATATACAATCAGAGTAACATCACAAATATCATATTCACTTAGTACATAATACCAACACAGAAAAAATAGTAATACTTTAGTTTACACCGAGATTGTAGCAACCAAGAGATCAAGAATACCATCAAGTTTCCCCTCCTGCAAGTAATCAGGGCAAGCATCAAGAACTGCCCACCTGTTTTCACTGTGGCCAAGTTGCACAATGCGGAAAGGATGCCATAACCCTTCTATGTCCCGAAATGAAGAATCGGTTCAGGGAAACAGGCAGACGCCTGCAGTGTGGGTAAACCAGAGGCAGTGAACAGTGACACTTCACACACAAAATGACACAAGTCACTTGTACTGCCTTGTTAGGAAAGCCAATGAGTACAATGTGGTTGTTGACAAACTGCTCACGGTTAGTGCTCAATTCTCAAGACATGGTTATTCAGCGGAATTCCAACCCTCTATATACCCCCACTGGTTATAGATCCACAAGTAGCAGATACTCTGGAAAATGTTGCGACAGTTGCTCTAGCACAGAGTTAGCAAAGAGAACAAATGAACAGTATCAGTTAGGTGTACATATACAATATATAAGTCTGGAATTTTGAATCCAAGACCTATACCAGGTCTTGACCTATACCAGGTCTTAGCCCAGCTTTTAAAACCAGATTCTTGAGTAGGAAACCAAAACCGATAGAGAACAATAGAAAATGAGTGTGGTAGATATATAAACAGAATGGGGCTATATACGGATGGTATTTGGTCACAGAATAGATAATAGGACCAGAAGTCTCGCTCAAACGGAAACATGTCCCATCTTTTATACTGCGCATGCACAAGCTAAATAAGTGTAATGCAGTGTTGATAATAGAAAATTATATTGGGAAGTTGTCATTTCTACAGTAAAACCAGCTTTTTTTCAAGTAGTAGGAAATGTGACTTCGAAATGTGACTTTGTATTTAGAAAGCAAACAGGGTCATATTTTTAAAAAAATTGTGCACTGAATATAAATTTGAGCATCATTAGAATGTGTTGATATGATGCCATTTTGGCTCCGGTATATATGGAGTTCTGCTTTTATACTTGTGGATATTCGATTTTATTTGGCTCAAAAACACCATTACAATGATATCCCTTTCTTGTTTTTCCTTGGATAGGTTTTAACAAGATAGAACTCTAGATCACTTGGGTCCAAAGACGCTAGATTATAAAATCCTTATGTGACTTGATACTACAAATAGAATATGTCTTATGATTTAATACTACAAATAGAATGACTTTTATGTACAAACTTCAATGAATTGATAAAGTGTAAGGATAGTGTTTAAAGTTGCTTCATGTGTAGAAACTGAATTACTTTAGTTTATACACTGTATTGTTGAGATCACATGTTATGACTTCCTAGCAACTTGCAATAAGTGGTCTGTTCTGCTTGTTTATAATACTTTAGAGTTTGGACATTAGAACATTGTAATTGCCTGACAGAGACTGTTAGGGCCTGTTTGCATGGAAGCTGGGCTGGCCCACTTAGCGAGACAGCCTGTTAAGGTAGGTAAGCAGGATCATTTCTCTTGTGTTTATTTGAGAAAATTTCATCCCGCTTACCGGGACAATTTTGTTGTTTTGACATTGTTTTGACAGTTCTTAAAAATAGGTTGCAGAAGTATCTTTGAACTTTCATCCCGCCAAGCTGTGTGGGTGCGTTTTTGCTCTAGCTAGTTTTACATTTACATGGTTCATATACAATTAATGTACATTTAAATTAGCTTTGTTCAATGAATACAGGTGTGATTCAAATATCATTCCTGTCAGGTACTTGGGTCAAATAGACATAAGCATATCAAATCATGCTATGAATTGAAATACAAGTATAGGGTGTGTATTGTTTAATAAATATATTTTCTAGTTAACCCAGTAAGCTGCATTGTGCCCCAATGCACCCTACTTTACTAGTTTATTTCACTTCATCTAATGCCAGATGATTTTACTTAACGAGGGAGAGTGCTGCTGCTCATTGAGCTCTGATTGAGTTCACTGAGTGGCAGCACTTTCCCCTTGACAAGTGAAATTGTCTGGCGTTAGACAGAGTAAAATAATCTTGCGTTCAATCATAGTTAATAGAGGGGATGGTTTGGAAACTCATTACCATTACAATAAACCTCAGTATCTATGTTTTTGTTCAGGTTTATGCAAAAATGTGGTCTTTCATCGTCACGTGTGTATTGTATTTTTGCTCAACCAGCCAATAGCAACGGTTTTGTCCAATTGCTCATCCATGACTTTAACAATAGGACATTTTGAACATTCCTATTGGTTGCCTTGAGAAAAATACAATACGCACGTGACGATGAAAGACCACATTTTTGCATAAACCTGAACAACATAGATAATGAGGTTTATTGTGATTTTATTGTATTGCTAACGAGCTTCCAAACCATCTTCTCTATTAACTATGGTTCAATCAAGGAGCTACTTTTTCAAAAGCTCAACCAGGCTAAAGATTCTTTGATTTGAAAACCAAAGTGATAGTGAACAAGTTAGTTGAAACAAACAGAATTGTTTGATATATTTACTTTCCACAACATTGACAATTAAAATTTAATTTGACACTTTTTCAGTATGCATTCTTCATTGACATTATATAGGTTCAGATTTGACTACCATCACCATTAAGGGACCATCAACCAATCAAATGCATTTGATATATTCGACCAACCATTATAACCAATCAGATGCATACTAAGGAAGTCAGAGATATTGGTAGCAGAACTCAAATCTGAACCTCTATAATGAAAGTGTGAGTTTATTCATAAACTAATTATAAATCAACTTTCATGCAATGCTTCATGCAATCATCTAGTTATGCACAAGTCAATGTAAATTCCTGCCCCCAACCAGGGAGGGGCGAGAGGTTTAGTGGGGAAAGTGGTCAGTTTTGATTATAAATTTGTCCCGATGATGGGACATTTGGACGGTGGTTAACATATATATCCTGTGTTGCTGTTTTAGTTTTCTTGACAAGAAAAGTTTAAATACAACAACATAAATGAATTTGATTTTCTATTGCTGATCTATGATTATACAAAACTATTTTCCTGGGGTTGAGAGACATGCAGGGGACATTGATGTCCCTGGGGCAGGGACAATTTCGCTCTTTTACTACCCCTCCAAGTCAAATTCCCTGCCGCTCCCCGGTTGGGGGGTTTACATTGATTGGTGCATTAATTAAAGAAGTGTCAGTGCCACATATGTAGTAAAAGCCAACTTGTCAGTAAAGGCCACAGAGCAAGATTGTATTTCAAAGACTGCCAGTGACAAAAACAATTGATAGCCCTGAAATAGAGTATGCCAACAGTTAGTATACTGCAAATAACTATTCTATCAACAAGAAAATGTGTGTTTTTACAAGTTTTTATATATCAATCCAATGGCATGTAACCTAAAATTCAGCAGTGTCTGTGTAATGTAATACACCCTTACTTCTCAATGGTCAAATTAACTATACTACATTGTGTATAATAATATATGGACTGATTTTTTTTCCCTGTGTTGGTCTTGTGTACTCAGGTGAATATGATATTTGTGATGTTACTCTGAGTATGTATCCACACCGGGCGAGCTTGAAAAATATGCCCGGCCACGGTGGGATTCGAACCTATGACCTTTGGAATACTAGCCCAATGCTCTTCCAACTGAGCTACGCGGTCAGGACGGTTTGAGTAAGTGATATTTCGGAACAGAATCTAGTTCCTTCGATACCAGTGTAGTCTTGTAATATATTTTTTTTTCTGTGTTGGTCTTGTGTACTCAGGTGAATATGATATTTGTGATGTTACTCTGAGTGTGTATCCACACCGGGTGAGCTTGAAAAATATGCCCGGCCACGGTGGGATTCGAACCTACGACCTTTAGAATACTAGCCCAATGCTCTTCCAACTGAGCTACGTGGTCAGGACGGTTCGAGTAAGTGATATTTCGGAACAGAATCTAGTTCCTTCGATACCAGTGTAGTCTTGTAATATGATGATTTTTTTTTCTGTGTTGGTCTTGTGTACTCAGGTGAATATGATATTTGTGATGTTACTCCAAAGGTCGTAGGTTCGAATCCCACTGTGGCCGGGCATATTTTTCAAGCTCGCCCGGTGTGGATACACACTCAGAGTAACACATCACAAATATCATATTCACCTGAGTACACAAGACCAACACAGAAAAAAAACCATATTACAAGACTACACTGGTATCGAAGGAACTAGATTCTGTTCCGAAATATCACTTACTCGAACCGTCCTGACCGTGTAGCTCAGTTGGAAGAGCATTGGGCTAGTATTCCAAAGGTCGTAGGTTCGAATCCCACCGTGGCCGGGCATATTTTTCAAGCTCGCCCGGTGTGGATATGCACTCAGAGTAACATCACAAACATATTATTCACCTGAGTACACAACACCAGCACAGAAAAAAAAAAATTCATATTACAAGAACACATTGGTATTGAAAGAACTAGATACTGTTCCGAAATATCACTTACTCGAACCGTCCTGACCGCGTAGCTCAGTTGGAAGAGCATTGGGCTAGTATTCCAAAGGTCGTAGCTTCGAATCCTACCGTGGCCGGGCATATTTTTCAAGCTCGCCCGGTGTGGATATGCACTCAGAGTAACATCACAAACATATTATTCACCTGAGTACACAACACCAGCACAGAAAAAATTCATATTACAAGAACACATTGGTATTGAAAGAACTAGATACTGTTCCGAAATATCACTTACTCGAACCGTCCTGACCGCGTAGCTCAGTTGGAAGAGCATTTGGCTAGTATTCCAAAGGTCGTAGGTTCGAATCCCACCGTGGCCGGGCATATTTTTCAAGCTCGCCCGGTGTGGATATGCACTCAGAGTAACATCACAAACATATTATTCACCTGAGTACACAACACCAGCACAGAAAAAAATTGTTCAGAAAAGTTTGCAATGAATGACAAATGAATTTGCAGTCAACAAGCACTTACTATAGTACCAAACATCTGTATAATATATCTGAGCTTTCCTGTGAGATATAGAGGTTCTAAAACCATTTCTTTCACTTCGTCTTCGAGTTGTAAAACTTTTAAAGTATTTCAAATTTTCAAATTCGCTCTCGTCGTATATGGCTGATAGCCGACTCATTGCTACCCACCTCGTCGGCTTATCAGCTCATATACGACTCGAGCTCATGGGTATAATTGTTAATTATACATGTGCTGTAAAATACACTCTACATACTGGTATATTATTAATTGTATCAAACCATCAACTTTAATACCTGTCTGTAGATATAAATTGCCTTGAAGGGCCACCACCACATATATTTTGATGCTTTTTCATTTCCGACATAACTACTTCTTCATTGCAGTTGACACATGAACTTTTGGTGAGCAATGCAATTCCTTAAGTGCCAGTAAAAGATATTCTCAAAATTTTCTTAAAATCCTCCCATAATCATTGATGCATTAACCAAAATTAGGGAACAATTAATAATTACAGGGGGAGGCTGATGGAAACGGTGGGGAGGGGGCTAATATTTTTGTGCACATAAAAAGGGATGATGAAACATTAAACTGCAACAAGTAAATTTGATTGCATCTCTGGGCTCATATTTTTAAAAAAAATTTCCCTGTGGGAGCATAACCCACAGACCCCCCTGGTAAGCTTATGCCTTCAGCTTGTAACCACTAGCCCCCTAATCCAAAAATGGTCCATGGCTTGTCATACTACACGTATCTTTTCTTATTGTGGGAGGGGGAAATAAAATTTATATTATCCACAAGGGGGGAAGGTCAACAAAATTCAATGCCCCCTGCACCCCCCTTTCAGGTCGTCCCTGAGGCAATTAGTCACGAGACTTGAGGAAAAGTAAACAATTTAATATTGCAACATGCTTAGTGTACACTCTTTTTAATACAGAGCAATAGCAAATGTGTAGTATGTGTAGAGTACCTGTGTCAGTTCAGTGCATCCAAGGTTAAATCCTGTTGAAGGGGTCTCAAAAACCCTTTTGCCTGACCAAGAGCGCTCTTCAAAATATTGACATCATATCCCACTGGAGGGCAAGGCACATCTATCAATGTTTTTGAGTTTCCATCTGATCTACGTAGGATCTCTTATCCCCCTTTATTCACTACACTGGGGAAGGTTTCCAGTACCTTCTCGTGGACATGTGCTGAGTTGCCGCTTTTGAAAAACGTTATTTTTTTCTCCCAATCCTGTCAAACTTAATCTGATTCTTTCTGCAGCATTCGGACGACAACACTGATTTACTTTACTCAAGCAAACAAATGCTTTGGTAAAAGTATTTTTTGAAGAGTTTTCCTGGAATAAGGTGTGGCCATATTCCGAGCGCTTGAACGTGACACATGTGATTGTCTACTAGATCTGGTAGTTGCAGGAGGTCGATAACCAAATATACGTTGATGCTCTTGCGACGCTAAATATGCTGTAGATGCTTAAACACTAAAAGCAGCGGGGGTAGGTGGTGTAACTGGCGTTGAGATGTCAGAAGACACAGCCACAGGGGATGGTGTTGAAGAGGCAGACATACTATTGGCAGTAACATTTATAACACCTCCACTGACAGGCGTGGATGGCGGTGTTTGTCCAGCAGGAACAGAAACAATGCTATTAGCAGCTGTAATAAGTTTTTCTGCACAGTCTCAGAATATTTTCCATTTTTAGCATCTAATATCGACAGGCTTTTTCATTCATTTATTAAAATAAATGTGAATAATGAATAATGCAAGAATGACAAACAAACGAAACACGTGTTTATGGAAAACTTCATGTAATTCCACTCAAATTAAATCCGAGATCTGCAGGCTCAAGTCCCCAAGGTCACAAGGCATTATTGAAGAATTTAAACAATCGACAAAGTCATGAACAGTTGTTTATTTTCATTCGACAAATTCAAGAATTTATGGAACTTTTATTCGACAAATTCATATATACACATCAAATAGCTACTCTTCCAAAGACAAATATCGACAAATTTATAGTATTGCATTTTGAACCTGAAAAAGCGCCATAAGAAAGAGATACTAAAATGAGTAGAGTTTCAAATTTTGGTTGCAAAATGTTGTAAAATGCGGAAAATATAGCCTTGCAAAGTTTGCAAATTTTGTATACAAAATATATGATCGGGAGATGGAACTATTGTTAGACAGGAAATCAGAGGGTAAATTGCCAGCATCAACAAAGGAAAATATTGTTGGGGAATTTCATAGCCTATCAAATATTCTTAACATTGGTATTCGGAGTGGAGATAAAATAACAATCAAATGATGTAATCAGGATTGATACCATAAATAATATTAGGAGAGATTTTAAAACAGAATGCCCTGTTCTTGCAGATATTGTTGCAAGCCTGTTCCTGAATCTGAGGACAGCAACTGAAAGTCCAACTGTGCTGTGCATGCTTTGTCACTACTGTCAAGTGTAACAACTGTCACTGCTGTCAAGTGTAACAACTGTCTCTGCTGTCAAGTGTTCAGCCATTGAAGACATATGTCTCAGGTATAATTTTGCTATCATAATTTTTTAAACATTTGAACACATATGAACACCGATGATATAATCTACGATAAAATAATGGTTTCCAGTTTAAGATCTGTAATGCATTGGAGGCCGAAGATGATGGTTGATGATCAATAATTATTTTTGCTGCTTTGTTCTGCAAGATTTGCAAATCTTCCATGACAGTGATGTTGCCATTATCGCCGCAAATCAGGTCGGCATAATCGAAAACAGGCAATACGAGACTGTTATAGAATAATGAACGAGCTTTCAGTGGGAGAAATGATCTAATGCGTTTCAAAAGTCCAAGACAACAGCCGCAGCTTTGACCTAATTCGAACCAACCTCGAACACATTTATTGCAATATGCTGCTGAAGGACAACTTTACACGCCTGAAAACATTTTCTGGCACCAATGGTCCAGACCTGCCAACCCTTGAGTAGCAGAAATAGTGAGTTGCTATCTAAAAAGTCGTGAGATTGACTGAAAAATTGTGAGGTTTGCTCATTAATATGACCAGGGTTAACTTTAACAACACTAGAAAAGAATCAATAGATATTCAATTTTATGATAGTATGCATTTATATTTTGTTAATATAACCATAAATGCAAGGCTTATAAAAAATAGGCTGTTTTTTCTTTATGGCTTTAGTAGTTTCCGCTGTACAAAAACAAGAAAACTATGAGTAATATAAGGACTATAAACAGGACAATAAACTTTTATTTTGTAACACAAACATCACGCATACAAAATTCTGGCGTTGTACATTGCGCATTCAGAGGCGCATTATTAATACACTAATAAAGTGTGATGTTTCCTTGGAAGAGTTGCCTTATTGTAACTAGATGTTGCGCTCTTCTATGATTTCATAAGTTCCGAAAGATTTCATAAGTTCCGATTTCATAAGTTCCTGATTTCATAAATTACACTTCTAAGGTCGTGTAACTTTACTTTTTTGACCACTTGCCCTCAGGGGAAAGTTGGACATGAAAATTAGTTGCCCTGAATAAAATTCACTAGCCATCAGACAATTGCCACTGGGGTACCTAGGTAGGGGCTATAAATCGAAGGGACAACATGTTGACTCGTTCTCTCACTGCTCTATATAGCTAGCTATGTTATACTGTCTCAGATCCAGTTTGACCCACAAAAAAATTTGAATCAAGCTATAAAAAATTTATCTGACAATGAAAACATAAAGATGCCCAGCTTTATTCGCACAGGTAACTTGCTCAATCAGGCAAGCAAGATAAAATGTTTACTTGCCCGTCATGATATTCACTTGCCCCAGGCAAGTGGTTATTAAAGTTACACCTCTGATTACAAGAAACCACTACCAGTTTTCTTGTTAATTCTTTCAATCTTACTGTGTGATGCAATGTAAGTGTCCAATATGACACACATGGCTGGTGTATTTTGAACCCATTAGGTGGCAATGTGCCAAGATGTGCCCTACTTTATTATTTTACTCTGCCTTCATGCCAGACGAATTTACTCATCAGTTGTAAAGTACTGCCAGAAAATATGTAAACAAAACTGTCTTATGTTAACCACTAGGAGGTGGCTTATGTTAACCCATTAGGTGGCAATACACACTGCTTTAGTTTTTTACTCTGTCTAACCTAGAGCATTTTACAGTGCATAATATAATTTAGTAATTCATATTTTTCATTTTCTCTTGTAATTTTTCTCACCAAGGAAGACAGCACACTCTTTAGAATGATTGTCTGTAATCAAATTATCACTCAAAATAGGTGCAAATAAGAAAAACAAGATAACTGGCACAATAAATCAATTTAAGCCGTCACATAAAAATATGCCTAGAAAGTGATTTTCATTGCACATATCGGGAGGCTAATGATTTCTTTCATAATGTAGTAGAGGAGCATGCCAAATCAAATAATAAAAAAGCCCCCGGTCAGAAGTGTGCACAACAACGAGAAATTGACTATATTCTGGTGATGACATCATCTATTGTGATGACATCCAAAAAGTAGAAATGTTCGAATTTCAAAAAATGTTTAATGCCATCAGATTGATGTGCATAATTGGACAAAAAAACTATATTACACTGATAACTTTCAGTTGTTCGTTACTGAGATATCACATTCCAAAGTTTTTAAAAACGCTCAGTCAGCATTTTTGTTTCTCCATTAAAGATTGTATTGACAGACTATATGCAGGGAAGGGCTTATTTTGCACTAGTACCTTAAATTGTGCACTAGTACCTTAAATTGTGCACCACAGTGTGAATTACAGCAGTTATGCAAGTCAGAAAACTAAAATGCAATAAAAAATTCAAATTGTTTATCCGCCATCTAGCCTTTGAAAGAAACCTAGAAAATGAAATCTGTTGCACATGTCGTAAGACTAACTAATTTTATCATG